AGTAGTTTAAACGATTCTGATAGGAAATTACAGTATCTTAGACATCACATGGGTATTCAAACTAAAGAGATATGTAAACTATTTCCTAATTATAGTAGTTTAAACACATATGAGGCGATGGTCAGTGCACTGAACCAGCATTTTTCGCCCAAGGTAAATAAGTATTATGAGAGATTTAAATTTGGAAGTTGTAGGCCAAGGCATGATGAGAAGATAGACTCTTGGGTGACAAGGTTAAAGCAAGCAGCTACCTTGTGTGAATTTTCTGATTCTGTATTAGAGGAAAGAATCATAGAGACCATTTTACTTCTCACGCCAGACCGCAAATTTAGAGAAAGAATATTAGAAGCAGGTCCTTTAACTCTAAATAAACTGATGGAATTTGCTAGGATGAGAGAAGACTCAAAGTCACAGGCTGATTCCTATGAAACTAAAGAGTTTGTGAGTAAGGTACAGGAACATAAGGGTAGAAGGCTACCAGTTTCTGTACAGAGGAACAGACCAGGTGAGTTACCTCCAAGAAATAAGCCAAGGACATCAGATCAGAGATATCCTAGTGCACAGGGCTGCCGTAGGTGCGGTAGGGAAAGCCATAGAGCTAAGGATACCGATAAATGTCCAGCTATGGGTAAGCAGTGCAATAACTGTAAAAAATGGAACCATTTTGCTCAAGTTTGTACAAATAAGAGAAATCAGAGGTCAAGGAATGTAGTATATAAGACTGGGGACACACAAGAGTCTGACTTTGATTCAGACAAAGATTGGGTATTTTCTATTAAGTATATTGAGGGTAGAAAGAAAAGAATATATATAGATGTTCAATTAAATGGCAAACCAGTAGTAATGCAGCTAGATACAGGGGCAGATGTTACTATCTTGCCGGAGTATATAGCTAAGACAATTCCTGGTATTAAGATGCAGCCAGCAGATAAAGGACTGCAGACATATGGGTCACATGGGTTGACCGTAAAGGGTATGGCTAAAGTAATGGTAAAGTATGAAGATCAGGTGCATGAAGATTTACCTTTATATGTTGTGAAAGAGAGAGACGAATGTCTTTTAGGATTGCAATGGTTATCCCAAATTAACTTTAATTGGCCAAAGGTGTTTGAGAAAGTATCCAAGGTAAACATAAGAAATTTATCATCCATAAATGAGATCATACCACTATACCCTGAAGTTTTCTCTGAGGGTATAGGTACAGTAGCAAATAGCCAAGCCTCATTAGCACTGCAACCAGAGGCAGCTCCGAAGTTCATGTCTCCCAGGAAAATTCCGTTTGCATTGAAGCCTGCTGTAGAACAAGAGATTCGCAGATTGGAGGCTGAAGGAACCTGGGAGAAGGTTAATTATTCAAATTGGGGTACACCTTTAGTACCAATAGCAAAAAGAGATGGCAGTGTAAGACTCTGTGGAGATTATAAAGTAACTGTAAATCCACAACTGCAGGTTGCACAACATCCGCTTCCAAATATTCAGGATATGTTAGCTGCTATAGGAGATTGCAGAGTATTTTCAAAGATTGATTTAAAATCTGCATTTTTACAATTAATGATGGACGATAAGTCACAAGAGATTTGTACACTGAGCACTCATTTAGGGTTGTTCAGGCCAAAAAGACTGCCATTTGGAATAGCATCAAGTCCAGCTATTTGGCAGCAAACCATGGACAAGATATTCCATGCCTTACCTGGAGTATTTTGTTTTGTAGATGATATTTTGATAGCAGGAAAAGATGAAAAAGAACATCTTGAAAGATTATTGGCTGTTTTAGATAGAATCAAGGAAAATGGAATGAAAACACACAAAAGTAAATGTCACTTCTTTGTAAAATCCCTAGAGTATTTAGGCTTCAAAATTGATGGTAAAGGTATCCATAAGACAGATGAAAAGGTTAGGGCAGTAAATGATGCCAAAGTGCCAGAGAATGTTAAAGAATTACAGTCATTTTTAGGGTTAGTCACATTTTATGGTAATTTTGTTAAGAATTTAGCCACTATTGCTAGCCCATTGTATAGTTTGACCGCAAAAGAAGTTCCATGGAACTGGTCAGCAAAATGTCAAGAAGCTTTTGACAGGATTAAGGCTGAGATAACTAAAGAAACATTTCTGGTACACTACAATAAAGATTTGCCTGTAAAACTAGTGTGTGATGCATCGCAAGTAGGGTTAGGTGCAGTATTAGCTCACGTTATGGAAGATGGTACTGAAAGACCCATTGCTTTTGCATCAAGATTACTGAATAAGGCAGAACAGAGATATTCTCAGATAGAGAAAGAAGGATTAGCTTTGGTTTATGGTGTTAAAAAGTTCCACATGTACCTTTATGGCAGAAAGACCTTTACATTAGTAACGGATCACAAGCCACTATTAGCCATTTTAGGACCAAAGAAGAGTCTGCCGGAATTAGTAGCAGCTCGTTTACACAGATGGTCAATAACCCTAGCTGCCTATAACTATGATATAGAGTATAGGTCAACAGCTAAGATGGGGAATGCAGATGCTCTGTCGAGACTGCCAGTCGATCAGGCTTCCAGTGAGGATTCATCGAGCATTTTGTTGGTAGACGCATGCGAGTTGCCGGTTACATCGAAGCAAATTGCATGTCAGACTAAGAAGGATCCCATATTATCTAGGGTTTTACAGTGTTTGTCACAAAATAATAAGGATGTATTGTCGGAGCAGCGATATAAGCCATTTACAGACGTGTGGTCAGAGTTGTCTGTTGTACAGGATTGTATATTGAGAAATACCAGGGTAATAATCCCGGACCGTTTGAAAGGTAGAGTTCTAGCGGAGTTACATGCCGAACACCAAGGTATTGTACGCACAAAGGCAATTGCTCGTACTTTTGTGTGGTGGCCTGGTATTGATAATGATATTACGACTTATGTAAGAAACTGTGAGGGATGTGCATTCCAGCAGAACAATCCAGCTCCCTGTAAGACACACCCTTGGGAGACACCTAGTACTCCATGGCAGAGAGTACACATTGACTTTGCAGGTCCATTTCGAGGTCACACTTTCTTGATTGTGGTTGACTCATTTAGTAAGTGGCCTGAAGTTATACCAATGACCTCTACAACTGCATATAGCACCGTGAGAGTGCTCATGTCCCTATTCGCAACACATGGTATTCCTGAGCAAATTGTGTCGGATAACGGACCTCAGTTTGTTTCAAGTGAGTTTGATAGTTTTTGTAAGGGGAACAACATCAAACACATTCGTAGTGCTCCATATCATCCCGCAACGAATGGTGAGGCAGAAAGATTTGTACAGACGTTCAAGTCTAACATGAAATGTAGAGGCAGTAGCAGATCTGGTCTCACCGCTAACATAAACAGGTTCCTATTATCATATAGAACCACTCCTCATGCAACCACAGGTTGTTCACCTTCGTTTCTGTTGATGGGGAGGAGGGTGAGATGTAGGTTAGATGCAATGACACCAAAATTAGCTGTAGAACAAAAGAGTAAAACCGAGACTGTGAAGGACTATAGAGAATTTAACATTGGAGATAAAGTATTGATAAGATCATATACTTCTTCAGAAGAAAAATGGTTTGAAGGACAAGTTGTACAAAAGCTAGGTAAATTGCATTACATAGTAAAAGATGAGGATGGTCGAGAGATGAAAAGGCACATTGATCAATTGAAGTTATCACATCTAAAGAAGGGTGTAATCATAATTCCTTCTGTGCAGCAAGATCAATCAATACAGCAGGAAAAGAAGGAAGTTAAAGTAGATCAGGAGAATATGCCTGCTGATATACCTAAAAAGAGAGAGTTACCACAAAGGTCTACCAGAAATAAACTTCCGGCTAGGTATGCTGACAATTATATCCTTACGGGAAGAATGTAATTGTATTTATGTGTAATCAAGCCATTGCGATGGTATTAACTGTATGCTTCGGGGCAGTTGTAATACTTATAATTGTGATATTGTCAACTATTGTGATATTTGTGATATTATGTATTTATTCAATATGCATTTGGGATTCTCAAAAAATTGTATTATCTTCCATAAGGGGGAAGGAAGTGTTATGTATTAACATACACTAAATGATATATGCTATTAACACTACAAGTTCCTATGTATAAATTGACTAACAATTATTATGTTTGTGATACCCGTGCAACGATGTGCAATCCGTTTTCTATGACCGGTCAAATGTATGCCCTAGCGGCGATGTATGTAACCCCTCAAGGCTTAGCAACAATAAAGAGTAGACATAGAAGAGACTCTTTCTACAAACCCTACATTAAACGGGTTTATCCAAGACTTCGTGATCCCTACTTTGGCGAACGAGGATGGGAGATAACGAAGCGTATATCATATGATTTCAGGTGAGATATGAACTGATGTATACTGTTTGGGAGATAGATGAGAACACCCCCAACATATCCCTCCTTTGTTTGCTCCCATTGGCATTTTTCTTTTCCTCCCTTTTCTTATTTCCTTCGTCGCACCAGCGCCGCCTCGTGACAATCGCAGAGAAAACAAGCATTGGCTTTTGGCTTCGAAAATGCCTTGGCTTTTCTGGCGGAAACGTCAACACTAAGCGTTGCAAATAATTGTGGCTGGACAGTCATTCTACCTATACCTAAGTCTTGCTGCCGTTATGATTATTGTTGTTATTTATATTACCAATATCATTATTAGGGGCTAAAGCAAAAGGGTAAATATTTTCTCTTCATATTTGGATATTCTTTCAAATAATTTAAAAGTAATTTTGCGTTCAGCCGAGGGCTTTCACAAGATCAAACGAATAGGAAGTTAGTACTGTAAGGGGAGCGAAGCCACACATTTTCGTTTCCGGTTACAAGTTATAAACATGAGCGGAAAATATCTGAGTATGATTTAGCACGAATGATCCTTATTCAGCCACTTGTTAGGAAGATAAAACTTGTAAGAACTGGCGTCGGGAATGCATGTGACCCCACAGGGAAAGGAAGGATTTTTTCATCGAATGTTAACCCTGACGAAACATTTGAACGCATTGCCTTGGATATCGATCTTATGTAAACACAAAGTTGACTTCCCTAAATCTGAGACTCATATTGAAGTGGCCACGAAATGGTTACGAAGAGAAAGTAGCGAGTTGAAAAGTATCATATGAATTAGAAAAAAATGAAGGTGCATTTAAAAATTGAGCAGGAATCATCGGCGATAACTAGATGGTTGTCGAGGAATATGAGATGAGCGAATGCAGTTATATAGACTCATGAGAACATTAAATCAGTGAGATGAATAGAGTAATAGAGGGATTTAATAAAACATAGATATGAAATAAGAGAAATATGTACTTGTGATCGAGGAATATATTAATAACTTATTACTGCTGACTCTTTAACCAAAACATTCAACAAAATTTAAACTTGCAAACTAGAGTGGTAACACCTGTAAGTAAACTTTGATTCAATGGTAATTTCGAAATACGTATTTTAATGGCAATATCGATTTGGAGGTCTGTGAAGAGTATTGATAATGATAATGGTAACAGCAGCAGGCACGCCAACAAAAGAAATACAAAAATGGAAAGGAAAAAAAGCTAGTACTTCATATTTTTCCAGGATTTCTCTTTATCTTAAAACTTAGTTGTACGAGGATGAATGGTAGGTTGATTTTTTTTTTTACTGTATATATTAGGAAAATATTTTTTGAAGGAGCCAAGAAAGAGGTATTTAAAAAGGTTGGTAACTTTATTTTAATTTTTAAAGATTGGACATATTTCAGTAATGTTTAATATATCTTTCTCTAAGTGAAAGTACACACACATACACACAGGTAGGTAACATTACACAAACAAGTGTAATATGTGTTTAAAAGCTACTATATAAATATTGTTAAATTTATCATGCTTCATATGTTCCCGTGGTGTAGTGGTTAGCACGGTCGCCTCCTACGCGACAGACTCGGGTTCGATCCCCGACGGATACTAGAAAGCAACAAATTTTATGCATGAATTTGTTTACAGCTCTACCTACCTACCTACCGTTCCATATATCTTTCTACTACTGTTTCTATTCCTTTCTCCGGTGTTTACAGTGCGAAGGAGTATGAAGGAATTGGAGTATTTTAATTATTATTTTTTTTTGCTTGGTCTTTGTTAGTATTTATGCGCGTTTTCGTAATTTTGCTGTTATTCCTCACATAATCATGTCATTGTATTAGTAATACGAGAAACAAAGAATGGGAGGAGGAAGAGGACGAACAAGTGTTGAAAAGAAAGAAATAAAATGAAAAGTAGGAAAGGTGTAAGGAAGGATAGCGGCAAAAGAAGCAACATACACAATAAATGCACAGCAGGGGAAAACTGATTGCAACCTGCTGTGCATTCATTTGTGTATTTGTTTTTACGTGTGCGTGTGGGCCATGTGCAACTCATGATAGGTCACTCAAAATTCCTCCATTTTCCTGTTAAAAATAAGCCTCATCCTGTTTTGTTCGCCTTTCTCTAAAAGAGCTTATTTTGGCGAGAAATAATTTCGAGGATTATAGTCTGGAACAGCTGTCGAGTATAGAATAGGGTCTTTAACCTGAAGCACTCAGATAGCGCTTATCTCCGCGATAAAAATCAAACAAGAAAAATTTAGAAACGACCTTATAATTGCAAAAATGAGAAAAAAGTGAAAGTAGATATTGTGTCAAAATACGGTAAATATGCGAAAGACTGAAAAATTACGGAATAAATAAATACAAAAAACTGCGCTAATAAAACCGAAAATAAAGCGAAGAAAAGTGAAAACAAAGAAGCGTGAAAATGAGATAAAGCGAAATATAAAATGCATCTAAAGTGCGACAAAAATAAAAGAATGATAATGATAATAAAACAAGGGTTGCAGTCCGTTTTCCCCTGCTTTCTATTTATATGTCTATGTGCTTGTATGATGTGTGCGTGTGGGCCATGTGCAACTCATGGTAAGTCAATAACAACGCTACCATTTTTCCTGTTAAAAACAAGACCTCATTCTATTTTGTTTGGCTTTCACTAAAATAGCTTATTTTGGCGAGAAATATTTGCAGCAGTCGAGTATAGAATACGGGCACTTAGCGCATACCTCAGCCAAGGCAATAGGGTCACTGTTGCAATAAAACTACTCACAAAGAATTTCATAAAACTCACCTTTCTCAAGTACACGGTATGACGTCCGTAAACATGCCCTCCTCGGCGGAGGCGAGCCGAAAGGGGTGCGAGGCAATCATTAAAAAAATCCTGGATCCGGATCACGATCGGGATCACCACCAAAATGTAATGGACTAAAGTATGTAAGGCTAACACACACACACACACACACACACACACACACACACACACACACACACACACACACACACACACACACACACACACACACACACACACACACACACACACACACACACAGAAAAAAATCATGACCATTGGAGTTATCCCGCAAACCAACGACCGCACGAACAAATGGACAGACAAACAAACGCGGCCAAAACATCAGATGGCTCGTCAGCTGCCTTGGCCGACGTAAGAACTGCGATAACGAAGTGACTTGAAACTGATGGGGGACTTTTCTGTGCTTATGATCTAAATCGAGACGTCAATTATTTATTTTCCGAGTTTGAAAATCATTCTTATTTGACACTTTTAAAATCATTATCATGGTACTGTTTAATACCATCACCACCCATTATTTTCGTCATTGTCGCATCATCGTCATATAATCACTATGGGTATCATCATATCACACACTGGCAAAGAAGTATAAAATTATTATCATGTTAATCATCATTTTTAGTGCTACCATAATAATTTTCATCACTATTATTATTACAATTATCTTTACTATTGTTATTATAATTTCATTTATATTATATTATATTTTGGTTATTATTATTACTATTACCATTACCACAATACTATTACCTCTATTATCATCATAACTATTATCATATTTTTTTATCACTAATACTATTAGTATCATTGTAATAATTATTACCATTATCATTACTATCATTATTTGATCATCATTATCATTATTGTTATTAGTGTGATTAATTTCTCGTCTATCATTAATATTATCATATATGTATTACTGTTATTATTATCACCTTTGCTGTCATTATTATCACTATTATTATGATTAATAATATCATGAATATTATGACCTATAATTTTAATCATCATTTTAGTGTTATTGTTATGATTATAATTATTATTACTACAATTATCATTACTATCATTATTGTTATTAAAATTTCGACCATTATCATTATTATTGTCATTATGCTTATTATTATTACTATTACCATTACTATTATACTATATTTTCTATTATTATCATGATTACTATCATCATTATCGTCATAATTAGTATAATATTTTTTGTTATTATTATTACCATCAACATCATTGTAATCATTATTGCAATTATCATTATTGATTTCATTATTCAATTTTCTTTGTTAATATTATTTTTTATATTAGTTCGAATTCTATCATTGTTATCATTATCATTTGTATTATCGTTATCATCATCATAGCTGTCATTTTTATTATTTTATTATTGTTTTAAGTATCTTCATAATTATTATTATTATTATTCTCTCCCTCTTCCCCTCCCCCCCCTCTCTCTCTATTTACCTATCTGAAGGCGACAGCGGAGGAAGGGTCTCGGCAACATTTAAAAATTTCTGCGACATCACCCATCGAGGGCGTGGTGGCCGAGTGCTTCGAGCATCGGACTTGGATTCGGAAAATAAATGACACGTCTTAAGTTAGATCAGTTTAAAGTCACTTCGTTATCGCAATTCTTACATCGGTCAAGGTGCCTGACGAGCCATCGGATGACAGACCATGTTCTTTCCTCGACTGCTCGCAAAGATTT